TATATAATGAAAAATAAATAACTCCCCCTTTTAAAAATACATTATAAAAAAACAGGTAGACATCTATTGCGTACTCTTTCGCTCCCCAAAAAATTCTTATGTGTATAAAAATGAAAATAAGAAGGTATACTGCTTAACTCTTTTATCTAAGTGAATTTTTTGTATACAACGGAGAGTCGAACTACTTATTAGTAGATAAACTTTGACTATAAATACCCTACTATAAATACAAAAAATTAGTAAAAATGATAGTATTGTAGTATAGAATGCCAAAATGTAGTAAAAAACTACAATTATAGTAATTACAACACTGATAGGAATACAAGTTAATGTTTGGCAATTTTCTATTGAATTCTGTTAATTGTATTATTCAAATTTCCTAGTATTTATATTTAAAAAAAAAAGAACAATTTAGTATCACTATCAAGTAATTTTGATAAAAAAATTTACTTAAAGATAGAATAAATAACTATTCTTCTAGTATCAGTCTATTAAAAAAATTTTTTAATGGAGTTTCAGTTGTTAATAATTTTAATACTTTTATACAAAACCTTTCCAAAATAAGCGCTAAAAAATATGTGATTTAGAAAGTGTCCAAAAAGTCAAAATAATATTGCATCAGCCAGTTAAATGCATCACATTGGTATACCATAAGCAATTTTAAAATAAAAAAAATTATTTTCATCTCTTATGGTTATATCTAAAGTCATTCACTTCAAAAAAATTTTATTATTGTCACACAAAATTTTCATTCAACAATTCCAGAATGTATTGCTGCATCAGTACATATAGTTACTGACACAAAATTTCGCACATGTCCCTTATTGATTTGGCATATGGATACTCCTGAAATACTACTAAAATTTTATTCAAACAAATTTTTTTGTAATTCGATCTCTTATCTAAGCTAAAAATTCTGCATTCAATATCGCCCCAAATTTTTGATGAACAGTGAACAAAATAAAACTTTTCTATATTAATAATATTTTCTACATTGATATTTGAGTTTACTGTAACATTTTTCACAACGCACCGCCTTTTTGTGATTAAACCAACGAATTAGAAATACAATAAGAAGTACTTATAAAATAAGAAAGGAAGGAGCATGTTGAAAAAACAATGAAGCCAAATTTTTTCTAGTTGTCTCTTTCTTTGCTCCGAGCATTGCCAAAGTCGTAATAGTAGTGTTTTTATTTTATTTTCTTGTCTGTCCTCTGCTATAAAATATGTGTAATTTGTAAGAAGGATAAGTTAAATTTTTTTTTAAAATAAAAACTAAGATTTTTTTATTTTAGGTATCTGTAGAAAAAAAACAAATTAAAAAAAAACTCATTATTTTTTTTTGCTCTTTGAATAAATTTATTTTGTAAATTGCGAATAACTATAAGTATTTTAATATCACCATATTTCATTACCCTCGAATATGAACATATTTTGTTGAAAAATTTCTTATATTATCAGTTTTGTTTGACAATTTCACTGAACAACTCTAAGCAATAATAATAACAATAAATATAAATACATATATATTTTAATGACTCTAAAACAGTATAATTTTTAACAAATTTTAATTAATATGATGGTTATTACTAATTGAAGTATATGTTATGTTGTCGTATTCTTTCTAATTCATTAATTAAGTTTCATATACTAATTCATTCTAAAATAAAATATTTTTTGAATAATTCACGCTAATATTTTATTTTTTTTACTGAATTCAACGGCATCATACATTTTTTTATAACCAAATTTTCACTCTATAAAGGGAAGTATATTTCATTTCATCTCTTTTAGGAAAACTGTAATTATACACAAAAACATCATTTAAAATATTTGTTTGTATACTACATTCTATCAAACACAAACTCATTTTGCTTAAAAAAAAATCCGATTCTGGTAAAAGTATATTATCCGAAGTAATTTTAATTTAAAACAAAACAAAAACAAATGTTTTCTTTGCAAAATTAAAAACATAATAAGATTACAAATTATGAATTTATCATAGATTAGAAATTATGGAGCACTAATGAATATTTCTTTTAATTATTGAAATGAATAAAATTCATATGTATATGGTATAAAAAAACTATTTGTTTTTGCAAATGGGAATAACAATTTAGAACTATATACCTTTTTATCTTTCTGGATTTTAATTTTTTTATAAGTTTTTATAAAATAAAATTCTTTTTTTAACACTTATTATTAAATATTTTATAATTTTTTATTTATAGACTATACTAATTTTGTAAATAGAATAACAAAATCTTCTTTGTTTACTTTTTATATAGCGGCGTGTAATTTTCTAAGAAAAAAAAAACAACAACACTTGGCATTTAAGTTAATTCAAGTTTGACAAAGCTCAGAGCAAAGAAAGAGACATATCTGAAGTTTTTCCCTTCATTATATTTTTTTCAAGATACTTTTTTTTAGGGAGTGTAAGCAAGATAAAAAGAAAGATGCAATGTCACATTAATGAGCAATGTCACATTAAAATTGACATTTTAATGTCAAATATTTTTTCCCCAGAAAAGTAAGCGACGGTGATCCTAATAAGCAAAAAAATTTTACTGATTTGGTTAAAAAAGATTTAGAGTGGTTTGTAACAAAGAAATTAACAGTCTGATCGTTTATCTCGCTTTTTTATTTACTTTCAAGTCAGAATCCTTAGTATTTTCTAATGATGTTTCACTTTTCCAGTAAGATTACTCATTTTTTTTTCAAATTATCGATTGAACCATGTATTTCGCTTTTATTTTATATTCTTCTTTCTTTAAAATTTTGTTTCAAATACATATATATGCAAAACAGAATTCACTTTTTTACGAACAATGTGCACCTAAGCAAACTCAAAAATAAAAATTTTAGTGAAGAAAGAAGAAAAATGTGAACAGAGCCATCCAACGTGTTGAAAATTTACTATGTTTTCAACATGTTAAGGGACGAAAATCAATAGTGAACCGCATATAGAATATTCCATTATCAATTTCCATTAGTCATGAGCAATATCGTTCATTTCAGTGATTCGTTCTGAACGAACTACTCTTTTTCACTGACCGATTATAAAATCTCGTTCAATCGTTCATTTCATTCACTTCTCTTCTGTATACATACATAATTGCATGTTTTTTGGTTATAATTATATGGTTATTCGTATTTATGGTAAATATTAAAGAAAAGAATATGTAATATTATACTTTATGGTAAGTTTTAAAGAAGTTTTTGTAAATTAGTAATAAGTTTTGAACCACAAAGTGTCTCTAATTACTTGAATCAAAAAGTTTAAAAAGTAGAAAAAAATTTAAAATATTTACTTGAAAACTTTTACTTAAAAATTGTTAAATTATAAAACAGTTAAATTATAAATAATTTCTTAAATTTCAAGAAATAAAAATTTCAAACCATTTTATGCATAAAATTGAAGGGTAGCCCAGTTCAATGCTTCGTTTTTTTTATTTCATACAGGTAGCTTTCAATTTGAATCAACTAGTCCATAATCTTTCAATTTTATTTGTATTGCATTAATATCAGGCAATAGCAAGTATGACGTAAATCGGTCAGGTCAATTTTATTTGTATTTGTATTGTATTTTATTTATATTTGATTTGTCTTATTCGTTTTTCTTTGTATTGCATATAACCATAGGTTATTTAGTATATTGTTCAATTTTATTTGCATTGGATTTAATTTATGTCTCTTTTTATACAATACTTTTATTTGTATTGTATATTATGTTGGGAAGGTAACTGATTCAGTTCTAAAACAATATATCAATACACACTTTTGTGTATATAGGACGGTTGACAGAAATACAGGCCTAGACCCTAAGAGGTTCACAGTTTACAGCTGACGAATTTACCCGTATTCTTATGGGATCTATAGGGGGCCCTTTTTAACATCATAAATTTCCCACAAGATCAACTTTTTTCAAATTTTTAATTGGAAAAAGTAAAATTTAATCTTTTTCTACTTTTCTAATGCTTACATTCCTAAAGTTTTGCGTTATTAAAACATTAATAAATTGGTTTAAAAAAACTTTTCAGGTTCTATTCATTTTTGTAAGGTTTCAATAAATGCTACACTACAAGAAAAAAAATAGTGCAATTTTTTTTTTCGAAGTATTTAGTTGATTTTGTTTTATTTTTTTCAAATTTGAGAAAATGTACATTTGAAATTAACAAGTTTGCTAATTTTGTATGATATCCCAAAATGCATACTTCTTATATAACGACATATAAATATCTGTATAATTCTCATGTGCGTCATAATTCATAAAAGTTATTGTATATATGAATTCTTTTTATACTCGTAATAAAAGTCCATATAATAAGAATTATTATATGGACTTTTATTATTTGAAACATTTTTTACTCTCAAAATTGTCCGGTTTCATTGAACTATAAAAATTTTTAGGCTTTCGTAAACTTTTCATATAGAAAACTCGAAATGAAAATAGGCAAAAATCATCATTCTTCAAAAAAAAACAAAAATGATTCTTAAAAAATGTCATTTGGCCCAAAATACACATGCAATTTTACAAATACATATGTACATTCATGAAAAAAGCAAGATCCAGGCCTTGATTTTTTGTAATGTGAAGATCTACAGTAATTTTCTTTATTAACTAAAAAAAAATTGGAATTCCTAGTGAACGATGAACGATTCATTTGTGAAGAAGTGAACTAATCAGTTAAGTTCAGTGAAGTGATTCGTTCTTTTTTAAGATTAGTTTATTCGCGAACAACACATGGCTAGTTTCTATTTGTGCGTAAAATTTTGAATAAATTTTATTTTCCACTTCTTATTTCTTGTTTAAGTATACTAACTAAAATTGAAATATTTGAAATGATTTATCAACTTTAAATATATCCGTTTAATAATATCCTCGACGATTGCTTCATCACTCGACTACTTTGAAAATAATGTTTCAGTTATTTTGATACATTTTTTAATTTTTCATGTCCCTTAACTAATTCATTTTTAAATGACGGAAGCGTAGAAAAATGTTTCAGTTGCTAAACTGAAAACGAAGCAAAAGCAGCGGAAAATTATTAGGCAGTAGAAAAATTGTTTTAATATTTTTACGAAAAAAAAGACGCGGGGATAATTGAACATTAATACGGTCCTTAAAAATTCGTGTCGAATTTTTTAAAGCGAAAATAAAAAAAAAAAAAGAATTTCAGAACTTTTTAAATACCCTTAAATTGAGATTCTTAAAGAGTGAATAAGCAAATTTTCGTAAAAATATGGAAGGTGAAAAAGCCGAAGCTTCTTCTACAAGTAAGTAATAAAAAATGAAATCTTCCATTGCTAACCACGTTTTTGAAGGTTTACATCATTTCTGTTTTTATCACTAATGATGTTAGATCTTTTTTTTCTTTGAAGTGATGTGTTTTTTTTTTTGGATTTTAAATATTTCATTACTCTTAAGTGATTTGTTAATAATGTATGTAGTTGGTGCTTAATTTACAATAGGACATGGTCAAAAATTTTTTAATAGCAATTTTTTTTTTTTATGTATTTTAATACTGGAAGTTTATAAATTGGGAAATAAAATGTATGTACATACACATGTATATGTATTAATTTGGAGTATTTGCCCATGAATCACGCGCTAAAATTTGTATTCTGTATACATGTGTATAAGAGTAAGCAATTAATATGTGCAAGTATAATTTTTTTTTTTTTTAAATATTACATCCATTTTTGTACATGTAGGAGGTTAATTTTGTACAAAAAAATATTACCGTTAGAAAAAAAAATATAACCTCAAATCAGAAAAGAACAGTGTTAATAAAATAACGCGTGACTTCATAAGTAGCTGTACATACATATGTACATATGTATGTATATAACTGTGTGCATGAATACTCTATGCATACATTTTTTTATGAAAAAAAGTAGATTTACGATTAGGTTATACTTAAACACATGTACATATTCGTACCTAATACATTTTGCAATGTTTATAATAAGTGTTCACGTTTCACATTTCTATATATACTGAAATACATACATATGTAGGTACACATTCTGATATATGAATGCATAATTGTAAAATTTTAGCTCCAGGTGAAGAAATTGTCACGAAAAGATTACTTTGTGTACAAACATGGAAGAAATTACACCAAGAAAAATGTTGCATTGGATACAACAGCATATTTAATAGAATCCCACATTTTATTGGAAGTGAGAAGGCTGCCAATTTACTGGCTGAAACGGAAGAATTTAAAAAAGCCAGTAAGTATATATGTCAAATAAAAAAAGGAATAAAAAACCAGATAATATGTATTATCTTCACTTATCTACTTACCCATCCATAATCCTTTACATGTAGAAAAATAAAAAAAAAACATCAAATGAGGATTGAGTAAATAAATTTTCTTTAAATTTTTTGAAGGTATGCTTATCATTAGTACCGTTTTATCACTAACTAATAAAAGAAACTTGTATTGACTTAAAAATGTGATAAACACCTCTTCAAAAATTTGTGATTGGAAAATTTAGTAATTCCTATAAATAAAAACATTTGTCTATTAGTGCTGTTTTGATAAGCGTTTCAATGTGTTTCTTTTATAATACCTTTTATCTTATTAAATGAGATTTAAGGGCGGTATCTACTTTAATTTTTTATCTATCATGTGTAGGTAGTGGAAAGAGAGGAGGTACAAATATGATTTTTTAAAACTACTGTATTTTTTATTTACATGTTTTTTTTATAGATAACATCAAAGTAAGTATTGGCCGATCTCAGGATCCTGTTAAGATTCACGTATTATCAGCTGGAAAAACTTTGTATTTGCCTCCTCCTAATGAGTCAAGTGCCTTATGCACAAAAATTATAAATTGCCCAAGTGACGCTGATGAAGACACAAAAAAAAAAATTATAAAAACTTCAACTTTAAAAGAAAATCGTCAAGAAATTAGTAAGCTACATTTCGATTTAAATAGCATATTTTATACGACTTATTATAAACTTAAATTTTTCAAATACATAGATCTTGAAGATAATCTTAAATTGGATATGATCGTTATTGGATCGGTGGTAGTGTCGCGTGATGGATACCGTCTTGGAAGGGGAAATGGTTTTGTTGATTTGGATATTGGGCTTTTAATTCATACAGGAGCGATCACTCCCGAAACTTTAATTGTTACAATTGTTCACGACAATCAGGTAGTATTATTATTATTTCTATTTTGTTTCATTTTTCTCTTTGCGCTAACATTTTTAATAAAAGAAAATTAGAAAAGATTAAATCTATTTTTAGATCAATATGTTTATGAGCCTTTCAGAAAAATGTTTTTGAGTATAAGCTTCTATATTCTATATGTATTCATATGTATTCTATATGTATATTTTAATGAATATTTTTCAGAAAATAATGAGTTCTCTTCTTTTTATGATGAGTTATGATTTTTATTTTTTTCTTGGCTCAGCGCTTTCTAAAGAACGTCATTCATTTCCTGAATATAGAATATTTTTATTGAAGAAAGAATGCAAATAGATTTTCTATGCATTTTTCTATCATACATTGAGCCTTAATATTAGACCAAATTCGATCTGTTCTTATTTCAATTTGTTAACATAATTAGTTGAGATTGACAAAAAATAAATTCTAATTTTGATTAATAAAATTGAGCTATTTTAAAAATTTATTTAGGTTGTGGACAGTTTGCCTACACATCTTTTTAAAAAGCATGATACACCAGTTGACATAATTGCTACGCCAACTGAAATTATTCGTGTATCGAAACGTTTAGCAAGACCAGTGGGTTTAACATGGGAAATATTATCCGAGCGTCGTCTGAAAATTGTACCTGTTCTACAAAAGATAAAAGAAAACGAAGAGAAGTAAGTAATTCAACTTATTAAATGCTTCCATTAATATGATCTTATTCATCGTTTTATTTTCCTTAACCCTTCTTTAGAGCCGGGAAAATAATTACTTTGAAATCTGAAGATACTGATGTGGAAACTAATGCTCGCCAACAACGTCCAAGGCAGAGAGGTCGATTTTACAGATATGGTGGGGGTAATAGAAAGCGTTCTACCAATAACACTAGTAACGAGGAAAACGTAAATTTTTTAGTTGTTAGACTCAAGGTAAATTTTAAATGTTTTATTTTATATATAGAAAGAAAACAATAATGAGAGACAACGCTTTCGTGGAAGATATCGTCATTATAACAGCAGAAGACGCCGTGCAACCACCAAAGTAAGAACATTGCGTTATTTTTAATACAAAATATATATAAATTTTTCTTTTAAATTTTGTTTTCTTTTTATAAAGTCCGAAGGTGAGCAATCGTCTGCTGACAACAAAGAAAATACGAGTCAACATCGCGGGGGTGGTGGAGCCGCTTATAATAGAGGAAAAAGACGACAACGACCAGGAAATAGAGGTTTTAGTGTGAAAGTTTCAAATATTTCCCAAGGTACTCGTATTCGAGATCTGAAAGCTGAATTAAGGAAGCGTGAATGTATTCCTGTCCATATTTCATGGAAAGGTGAGAACAGAAAAAAAAGTTCTTCCAAAAATTATAAAATGGTAAAATTTTAATTTCAGGAGCATATGGAAGATGTGTTTTACACTTTCCAAAGCGTAAAGGTACCGAAAAAGAAGAAGAAATTGAAAAGGTTTTAAAATCATTGAATGATTTATCATTGGAAGTACAAGCAGGTGATAAAACCAAAACTGTTAATTTGGCTGTTGAATTGTTGAAATATGATAATGAAAATAAAAAAGTTGAAATTGAAGAAGTTAATACTACATCTGCATAATAGGACTTAGTTTATTGTCCTAAAATAATGAATGTTTATATATGCATATATATATTTATATGTGTATATGAATATGTAGGCATACATATATATATATATATATTACTTTTTTTTCTTGATTGGGATATCTTAATTTTAATAAAACAATTTTTTTAAAACATGAAGGAATATTATTAATTTTTTCAAAATAATTAAATAAAAGAAAAAAAAAATGTAAATGTAGGATACAAAAAGAAAGGTTTTTGTTTATATACTAATTGCTAAGAGATTTTAAAAAAATTGTTGAAAAAATATTTAATTACATGAAGGTTTACCTTAGATAAAGGTTATATTAAATTTATTGAAATAGAAATTGTACATAATCTGTTTTCGTTAAGTATGTTGGTTTTAGTAAAAAGGAACCACAAATGTTTCTTTTCTGCTGAAGAAGTCAGAGAAAACAAAGCAGAAATGGAAACTAGATTGCACATACTTTGCAATTCGTTGCAATGAAGTTATGCATGAATTTTTTTTATTCTACGCATAATATTAATTTAATTGGATTATTAATGTAAATGTTTTATTTTAAATTTATAATTGTATTTAAATCAAATAAATCAGAGTCCCAATCACTTTTTTTTTTATTTTTTTTTTAATTTTTCAAAACGCGTGCATGTTACGCGTATATGTTTTTACAAAACTTAACAAATAATTTTTTTATATTGATAATTTATATTGTTTATTTTTCATAAATTTTTTTTATGAATAAATTTTAAAATAAAATTGGAGAAAATTAAAAAAAATTTTACAGATCTAATTACATATATAGAAATAAATAAAAGTGTGATCTGTATTTTGCTTTTTTCTTAAATAAATTGGAATAAAATGGAATTGAATTATATTTTTGTATAAAAAATTATTGAACTGTAATTTTATTATTGTACATTTATGGATTAGTTAACAAATTGTACTAAACAGGCATTTGATTTTGTTGTTTATTTAAAAAAGGAAATGAATATATAAAAGATCATATAAAATATTTATATAAAAAATCAAACTTTTTTTGTTGAAAATTATTTTTTACGTACAAGATTCTTGAAAACAATTTATGGAAGCCAAAATAATATTAAATTTTTTTATATAAACTGTAGATTTTAATAAAATTCGAACAATAAGCACTACACAAGATTGTATAAAGCAAAATATTAAAAATAAAACAATTTTAAAGAAATATAATATTTTATAAATAATTAAAAAAACAAAAAAAAAATAACTGCAACTTTTCTTAAATGAAAGTCGCATTTGTTAAATAATGGATGTAAACACTTATAAAATTAAGATAAAAATTTTATGTTCCAAAACTGCTGCATGCGATAAAAACAAAAATAACTTATAAATACTGACTAACAGAAATTAAAAGAAAATAAAAATAAATCCAAATTTTGTATTAAAAGGAATGAACTATATTTTTGAAAATTTTTTTTTATAAATTGATATCAATATAATGAGACTACACAATTGAATTAAAAATAAAAACATTTTTGTACTAAACTTTATATCTAAGAATAAAACGAAATTTTGCATAAAAAAATATATAATATTTATAAAAAACTAAAAAAAAATAAAGCATTTTACGTTTTTATGAAAAGAAAATGATTCTTTTTGTTGTATTTAAACATTTCTGCTTTAACTAAGCAGAGCTGCGGTGGTAGCAGAAAAATTTGTCCTGAAAGTAAATAAATATTTTTGTATATGTATACTTTTATGGAATTTACTTCACAGATTTTCACTTCATAGCCATGTTATTGCTAGTGTTATTGATTTTGTACATTGCATTTAATACATAATCACCTATGTATATTCTGCTACCATCCCCTGTGCGACTAACCTTAATTGTTTCAAAACTAATGGGGATTATTACTGCATATTTTACCCTACTAAATAAAATATTATACTATTAAGATATGTATCTTGTTTATATATTTACGATATTACTAATGTAAATTTAAATTATTTTGAAAAAGTACCAATAGGATAAGACTGCAATTAAGTAGTATAACATTTGATTACATATTTCTTTTCTATGATTCTATCACAGAAGAATGTAATTAAATTTAAATGTGAAATAATACTGGATTGAATGCGTCATATAATGTCAATTTAAATTTTAGTATTATTTGGATATGTAGGTACCAGTAGAACTATAATTTGATGTCAACGATGGTTGTTGGCTTTCCCGATTTATTGCATTAATGTTTACAATAAAATCTGGCTCATTTTCATAATCGGCTAAAGGTTCGTCTTTTTAGAGCTGAGCAATTTAAAGTCGAACTATATTTTCTCTCAATGGTTCATTGGTTCGTCTGAAAAAAGCTGAGTTGATTTTTTTTATATTTGTTTGACAAAAATTGTATTTTAAAATTTATGAAAACAATTAAAAATATAATAGGAGTGTAAAGAAATTTTTAAACACAACGGATAAGAATACAATGATTATGCAGTTAACAAAAATTAATTTAATGAAGGCGCCGTTGGAATTATGTTAATGTTACATAAAAATCCGAAAAAAAGGCAATTGGAGCTAAAAGATTTGAGGGCACACCTATTTTAAAGGAAAGATCGACCAAAGGATTTTATAATAATTTGGTTCAGGAGGTGAGGCTAAGAGATGAAGAAGCCTTTATAAATCTCCAACGTATAGACAAAAAAATATTCGATCAATTGTTGAGCATTACATACATATACATATATATATACCACCATTTAAAAATATAAACATAGTTTGTTAATTATGATTCATATTGTAGAATTTATTTAATTATTGTAAGTTCGCGGCACTTAAATTTATGTTTACAAGTTGCCAACTAAATTATTAAATATAATAAATATAAATACGTAACACAGTAGAAATTACAGTTAGAACGGTTTCCAGGAATCTGTTCAGGAGCACTTTTTGATGAAACCACTTATCCTCTTTTTGCCACATAATTTTTTCCACTATTGCTTATCCTTTTATATTTCCCGTTTGAGGCACTTACTTTTCGTTTTTTGCCTCTATTGTTTTTTTTTACTAAGCGATCTACACAATTTTCGGACATGACATTTTTATTTTAAAACGTTTTTCCACAAACCAAAATATGTACATATATCTATTAATAAGTAATTCGACTCTCCGTTTACATCACACTAATGCAATCACTCACCAAATTTGTATAGAAAAATTCCCTTAGCTAAAACAGTTAAGCAGTATACCCTCTTATTTTCGTTTTTACACAGATAAGAATTTTTGAACTGCAATAAGTTCCAGAAATAAAACTCCCGCTTTAAAAATTTTTTATATAGCGACCCCCTTTAAGCTTAGGAAATTTTAAACGACCCCCTTCTCCATATAATGAAATATACATTAACCGTAGATGTAGATGTATTATCGCACTATTTTACAATGTAAATAAAATAAGGATTAAAGAATACGTAATTACGTACCCATTAATTTCACATATACATATATAATTGGAAACGTTGATGGGATATCGGTCGTAATAAAACACAATAAATAGAATGACATAAAACTATATATATATTCAACAATAAAAAAAATAAACTTTTGTAACAATTTTTGACCCCCTTTCAGTAGTCTCGCCACCTCTGGGGGGTCGCGACCCACAGTTTAAGAAGTCCTGAGGTAGACATCTATTGCGTACTTTTTTGTCTCCCAAAAATTCTTATGTATAAAAATGAAAATAAGAAGGTATACTGCTTAACTCTTTTAGCTAAGTGAATTTTTTGTATACAAATATTGGTGAGTGATTGCATTAGTGTGGTGTAAACGGAGAGTCGAATTACTTGTTTATAGATATACTTTCATTATAAATATACTTTGCCACAAACTGCCAACTTTGAAAGTCAAAAACAATGCTTTAGAAGTGTGACGGACCGTTATCATGTTTCAGAGAAATGTAGAGAATGGGATAACGAACATTTTTTTTATCAAAATATAACATTCGAAATTTTGTAATTTAGAACGTTTTTCGCGCCACAGATTAAATTTTAAAAAAATTTTTTAAAATTCCATATCTATAGTTGTTTCTGCTTCAAAGTTCAAATTTAAATTGCAACTTTATGCCACTTTTGAATCTACCTTTAACAAAACTCTGCACTAAAGTTGAATTCGATCAACTTTTTCAGAGAGAGAAAGAATACTGAATGGGAATGTCAAAAATTCAAATTTTCATACAAAATACATCAGCTCTTCGACCAGTGAATCCACCTTAAAAGTTATTCTTTTTTTTTTAAATTACGAATTGGTAAAAACCTTTTTGGGCACGTCAGAAAGTTCATTTACAAAATTTTCAAATATTATTTTTTTTATTTCTAAGTTTTTTTTGGGCCGTTTTTAAGTATTCGCCTATATTTCATCTATCTTTCTATAAATAATATTGTATAGATAATTCTACACGCGTCGCACATTAAAATGTGTGAGGTGACAGATTTGCTATTCTACTGAACGCGCGTTTCACTATTTTCACATTTTTTTGTTAGATTTTGCCGCGTATATTTTGTTGTCGGCAGAGATATAAAAGTTGCTGAAAATTAAAATTAAAAAAAAAGAAGATGTAAGTATAATTAGATATTTTAATAGCAATATTGAGCAATTTTATTAATTCAGTGTAAAAATTACCAATCCTCAGCAACTTCAAATTTTAATCAAGTGATGGAAAATTAATTTTCTTAATTTTCTTCTTTACTCTGCTTTTACCCAAAAACCAAATAAAGTACGAAGACATCTTTCCTACTCTAAATTATAATTTGTTATTTATACTTTTTTCTGTCACCAATTTATTTTCTAACATTTAACATCAAAAACTTTTAAGTCTTGCTTCTTCTGTGACTAAAAGTGACTGGGATATATTATTATGATATACATACATACATACTTATGTACATACTTAATCCTACAAACTGAAGTTAATAGAAAAATCAAAAGGTTTGTTTTATGTTTTAAGATTATATTTTTGTTTTACTGATTTGGTCAGCACATAACCAATCGCAATGTGTATTGTCTAGTTAAGTGAAAGTGTTACAGAATATTATAAAAATGTCTGTTAAATACTTCTTTCCAATTTTTAGGACATTAGTAAGCTTATGGTTAACATACATAGAAAAATGTAAATTTGGCTCATAGTTGAGTTTCGCTTTGTGCTACCGGAATTTTCTGAAATGCTCGCTAGTAAGTTTCGGTAACAACCAGAACTCAAATATCAAATTTCAAGAAATTCCATCAATTCGTTCCGTAGATATGGTGAAAAATGTAAAACAGGCTCGCTAAAAGGTTACTTCCCGAGGCCTGGTATATCCTAAAAGTTGATTAAACCGTGCCATAGTCGAATTAAACTTACATATAATTAAACCTCATAACTTTTTGAATGGTGTCTCAAAAAATCAGCTACTTAATATTAATAGAAATTAAAATAAAAAATTATAGAAATACTTAAATCATCACAACCTACATATGTATGTATATATGTGTGTATATATAAAGCTAAATTTGAAGGCAGATTAGGTTAATAAATCTATTCTGAAAATAATGATGTGATTATGATTGTCAGGCCTCCATAACAGAAAGATAGTATTAAATTAACTTCAAACATAATTTAGTTTATTTTCTAGCCAGAAGCCTCATAAAACTTAATTTCACTTAACCTAAAAATTTTCGACTCATATACAAATTATAAGGATGACGAGGTTGGGAGGGGGTGAAGGGGAGGGAGGAGATGCATTATGTATACATAGACGTATATGCACGTGTCTGTCTCCAATTTTAGTCATCATAATATTCTTAACATAATTTCAAAATCAAAAATGCAATTTTATTGCTTTATTTTTGATCATCTTTGTTTAATTCTATAAAAATTTTTGAGTTTCTATAAAATTTTGTGAAGATTGATAAAGTTGTTTTAAATTTCTTTGATATACATGCTTACATATACATACATACATACTTACATAATGTACATAATATGTACATATGTACATAAATTTAGTGAAAATTAACTTTTTATTACTTTTACTTATGCAGAATCCAAATATGAAAATGGAAGAAAATCGTGAAGGATAAATATCATAAACATTTAAATAAATACATACATATGTACATATAATAGAAAATACGTGCATAAAGCACATAGTCATAACTATGTATGTATATATGTATATACATAAATTAAAAAATAATACATTTCACGTTAAAAAAATGTATTCATCATTAAAAAAATGTATTCATTGGTCTGCCCTTAGAATTAAAAGTAGAAAGCAATTTTAATAATTTCGAAAAGGGAATTGTGTCTTATATTAATAATAAGTTTTACATAAAATATGTACATATGTATGTATGTACAATTTAGTTTACAAATGGCTTGTAACTACAATAAAATTGTTAGTAAGCAATTACTGCTATAAAGAATCAAAGGAATAAAGCAAATGTACTTTACATTTTCATAATAGACCTATTATGTCTGGGATAAAACTTGCAAAAACTTTAAAAAGAGAGACAATGGCGAAATTTCTGTTAAAAAAAAAACTCACTTAAAAAAAAATAAACTAGACAGAAAACTTGGAAAAACTTTTGAAAACTTTATAAATAAGTGATAAACGTCAAATTTCAAAGTAGTTATCAAGCATAAACAAATATTTTATGGTTATACTAAAATCCGAAAATTTTGATTTTGGATTATAAAAGTGTTAAAGTTAGAAAAAACCATTTGTGAAACCTTTTTAGTTATTTTGATTTATTTTTAATTGAAATGTTTTGAAATAAAACCTTCAGACATGACCAAGAAAAACATATGATTTGACAGCTGTAAGATCAGAAAAGTTTTTAAGACACTGTATTTTACTTTACAAAACTTGAAAAAACTTTAAACATCGAGAAAATGAGAATGTCATCATTTTCTTTCATTTTTGTTCAAAAAGTATTATCCCAGACAGTTTGCATGCAAAAAATTTATAAAGTTTTTAAAAATTATCTTATCCCAGGCAGACCTAATATTAAAGTATTGAACAAAAGTTACTAAATTACTTACATATGTATGTATATGTATGTACATTCATATGTACTCGTATATATGTTTATTTTTTGTAATTAACAAACATTGTATTTTCCATGAAGTTCCAATTCCTTTTTATAATGTATGTATACTAAATAGAAAATTTCGATTAAAATTATGATTAAAATGTTATGCTAATTGAATTTATTACTAAAAAAATAAAATTTCACAATGCACGGTTTTATATTATCTACGTATGTATGTATGTACAAATAAAAATTTATTTCTAGTTTACACTTGTAATTTACAAATGAAATTTTTCCATTTTATTTAAATAAAATTCATGATTGGTGGTATTGTTGAAAATTGCATGAATGACATTAAATTCATAATAAATATTTTAATAATAATCATAAATTCAATAGCTAATTTAATCTTAAATTTATGTTTTTTGAAGTCTTTATTTATAGGCATAAAAAGTAGTGTATAATCTATTTTTGTTTATAGGTTTCTTAACAAACTATTGAAAAAGTCACCTCTATAAAAAAATTTAAATGTAATTGATGAGATATCATACACTAACTGTTAATGTGTTAACGGTTAGAGATTTGGTAGAAAACTCAATAGGTGTATATGTATATATATGTATATACATAAACGATAAAAAAAACGTGATGTAATAAAAATTTTCAATAATAAAACTTTCCACTACATGCACGAAAAGAATTCAATATATGTATGTATGTATGTATAATTTGAAAAGAATCCTATAATTTGTTTAATTTCAATAAAGGTATAAGTATGTATTATAAAATTAGCTGATTATTAGATATAATAATTATCTAATAATATTGAGCTGATTACAGATAGTAATGATATAGATAATAATGTATGTACCTACATTTTAAGATAACAAGGCAAAGAAAAATTTTAAATTGGAAAATAAACTAAGAACAGTTGAACGCGCATAAGCAACATGCAAAAGGAATCAAAAATTTAGCCCCACTTTTTGAACATGTAGTACTCTACAATATTTACTAGTGTATATGCGATGCGGGTAAATGCAAGACTCTGTTAAAAGTAACCATAGTTAAAGCACAACTGCATGTAAATATTGTTAGATAAGATTTTTTTTTTTATTTAATTTTTCTATTCCTGGCATTCCTGAAAATTTTCATGTCAAAGTGGCATATTGTGAGCTGATTAATTGTTAAATGTCAAATTATGTTAAATCCTAAAATTTATAGAAATTCAATCGATACAGACCTTTGTTGTTTATTGATTGAAGAACAATCAGACTTCTTCATTGCCATTACAAAGGGTAGTGACTATTGAGTTAAATTACGAAAAAAAGAAAATAATAATTTTAAGATTTCAGTTAAAAGCTTCAGTTATAAACAAAAAAAGGAACAATTAAATGCCTTTAATTGCTTATTTCTCTTATAATAACCAAAATAAAAAAAATTAAGTAAGCAAAAGGGATGTCTTTATTGTTTTTTTTAAACTAAAACATTATTTCAATAGAACATATAACATAGAACCTGCAAAGCCGCTACCCAATCTCTATGTCGCATGGTTCCGAAGCTATAGCATTTACTTATATACAGGAAAAATGCCTGACGTTATTTGCCACTTTATCTGAAACTCCTCTACAACATTGACATTTTTGGCAATTTGTTATAATTTCTAGGGTATAGGTGAAAAAAGTATAGAGCAATAAGAAAATCTTATTTTTCTTAATTTAAAGATTTTTTGTTTTGAATATGTTTTTTAAAGTCTTTAATAATTAAATACTTATATTATTTTCTTGTCTTATACAGAATCTGATTTTTTTTGTTAATTTTTTTTTCCAATATTAATTAAATGTATTTAAAGTTTTATGTTGCTATAAGTATAATAGAAACCTATATTTTGTGCTAGGGTGTTGGTGCTGTTATTTGTTTTTTTACTTAAAATTTATTATATAATGTAATTGAATCCTAAATATCTAAATATTATTAAAATTATGTATTTAAAATAAATTTATTAGCTTAAATTACCAGTTTTAATTTCTAATAAATAAAAAATTATCTTACGTCTAATATATGTACATACATATATTATTTAAATGCAATTATTACTTCAAAATATTCAACGATTGGTTTTTATGATTTCTCAAGAATGTGAGTGATACCTATTTTTTTAGTAAATTAATTTTAAAATTAAAGTGCTATAATTTAAATATTTAATTTTTATATAATACATATTCATTCTTCCTTATTATCAATTGTTTCTAGCACACGCTACATAAGTAGTTCACGAAAAAATAAATGAGCTGGTTATCAAAATCATTTATCGCCTTTCATCGCACAATTATGTTAGTATAGGCTGCTATAGATAATTGTTGATAAAATTAAAATCTATTTAAAATATGATAATTTTATTATTCAAAATTTTCTACCCGGGAAAAAAAAATTAATATAAAATCAAGTTTTCAAATTCAAAAAATTACTATTACTTTTGTAATTGCATATTGAATAGATCTTTAAGGGTATAGAACAAGTTCAATAAATGAAATGATTTGATAAAAATTCAGAATTTGGACATGTTTAGTTTTAAGCACTTTTCCAAAAACAAAATTTGAAATAAAGTGCTTATTAGTTTCACTCTGTCCGTCCATCCGTGGACATGTTTACAAAACTTCCACACCCTTGATGATAGAAAGCTGAAATTCAATATGTAAATAGATCTTTACTAAAAACCCTAAAAATGGTATTTTTTAACTTTTTGTTGCAGTGAAATTCTAAGCATTTTTCAAATTTTGCAAACACAGAATGGCAGCGGCTTGCTTCTCCTCTCGCGGCATAATATAGTTAAATTTTGAAAAAGCAAAATGCCCGTTCAAATTTATTGTTATCTAAAATCCGCTTTTTCCAAATTTTTGACTCCCCTTCCCTCTCAAGTTATCACCTCTTGAAATTTCTAAAATTTAAATTTTTGACGCCTTATATTTCCGAAACCGCAAGCTAAAAATTTCTATAAACGCAAAAAGTTAACGATAAATTCCATGACATCAAAAAATATAAATATATTATTTTTCTTAACTCACGCAAATGTTAAGCCCTTTTTAGATTAATTTTTGCTTTATTTCAAAAACTACATAAATCGTTCATCCTAAATATGTGCAATCCTAGAAGTAGTTTCGTTTATGAATGAAAATAATTTTAATAGTGCGGTAGGTATACATGACTGTATTTAAAAGCAGTATTTTCAATTGTTGAACTGAAAAGTGTTACATACAAACCATTTATTTGACCTAACTTTATTAGAAAACAAACTCAGGTTCATAAGGATTTTAAGATTTAATAAAACAAAGAAATTGTTTAAAGGTTTTTGGTGTTTCTCAAATAAATAAAATTTTTATACCTATCAGTTGATTTTGCTAAAATAAATTGATATTTATAAATTTTAACTATCGCTTATAGCATCGAAATTTTTTGATAATAAAGACGAGTCTTTTCTTGAGCATCAATTTAAGTTGTATACTTTGAACAAGATTATGATATAAAAATAAGAAGAAATAATTTTTTTCTTAATTCTAAAAAAATGCTATTCTATTTCCCCTTTTGTTGTTACATTTAATTTTAAGATGTTGGGTTGTTTGCTGTGGATGATCGAGGTGATGGTGTTCGATCAATATATTCAATAGATTCATTTTCTTTTTTAGCTGCTGAAGTTGTTGTTTGGGGTGGTGTTGTTGATTCTTTGCCTAAACTAATTATTGGACCTTTACTACTAATACATAAGCTATCAATTGCAGAATTTAATCCTTCGCTGATACCAGTAGCACCAATTGTAATGCCATCATTATTACTAGAGCTGCTATTTCCATTACTGGGATTAATTACTTTGATTATTTCACGTTTTTCTTTAATAGGTGCTAAACAATTGACAACGGAATTGGCCATCGCTAAATCTAATTCTTTTTGCCACTCATTTTCTTTTCTTTCCATTGCACGTCTTTTCATTTCTTTATAACGGTTATAAACTAAAAATTCTTTTATAAAATTACTTTCTGGATCAACAGTACCACCACCATCACGTTGCTGTGATCTTTGTTTGGCTAAACGTTTCTTTTTTTTATGCAATGGTTTTGTTTCAACTATCATTTCTTCTAATTCTAAGCAAGGATCACAATTTAAATGATCTTGTGGCGGTTTAAAAGGGGGTCGAATACGTTTTTTTAAAACCGTTCTAAAATCAATATTACGTAATAAAGGTGTTTTCTTCAATTCATTTTGCGAACTTAAACGAGCTCCTGGTAAAACATTTAAAAGCTAAAAAGAGTGACAACAATTAAGGTTTATTTGATTCATTTTTTACACTTATTATTAATAAAAATTGTACCTTATTTAAAAGATCTACAAAATCACTACTCCAATATCTGGGGTAATGTACTGATGAATTCAAAATTGTTTTAACTTCAGTTAGGGGTGTATTGGAATGTATAATAAAAGGCCTTGTACCAGCATGCATTTCATATGCAACTACACCTAGGGACCACCAATCTACTGGAAAACTGTAACCTGCTAAATTAGATAAAAAAAAATAAACGAAGTATCAAAATACTGAATAATAAATATATATATGTATGTATATATATATATAAATGTGTCTATAGTATATATATGTAAATAATAAATACAAAATATCCTAATGTTAACAATCTAAATGTTCTCAATTTTTGATATATTTCAAATTCAACATCGGATTTTCGTGATATTTTGAATTTCATGCTTTCTTGGGACTTTCTTCAAAATGAAGCTTCTCCGTTTTTGAACAAAAATTTATGATTTTGTTTTATTATGTTTGTTGTATTTGCAGGTAATATAATATTATTTTACTATGTTCAAGCCGGGTCTAATAGATTTTAAGAAATTTAGGGATGAAATTGTCCTTAAATAACGTTCTGAACATATAACGCGGTATAAGAAATTGTTACAGCATACGAAAGTTCAATTATCTTTCGCGTCGTCCAGTAGTTTAGTTGAAGCAAAATTTGTAAACATTTTGTGTTATAAAAAGATTATAAAAAGAAAAAAATCTAACATGAGAGTTATAGTCTATAACATTATGAACGATGTCAATTTTATCAATTTAGTTATTGAAAGGAAATAATTATCGCCTAAATTATGATATGTATGTAAAAAAAAAATTAATGCTTGACTATATTATGAACTTATCAGACGAAACTATAAACAACTAACTCAATTTGTTGAATAAAAGATTGAAATGTGTTTCAAAATCAAAATCAAAAATGCATGTTCAATAACAGGAATAAAAAAACAATTAGACGACATAAAAAGGTAAAATTAGAAATTAAGTAAAACGTAATCTCAACAACGAAGTTTGCAACAAAAATAAACTTAAATCTAAGTGTAACAACAAGGACGCAGAAATAATAAAAATTTTAAAATCGAAAGATCTGTTCATACAAAAGTTGATAATTGTAAGATTATCATGAACGTATGGTACGAAAATAATAATAGAAGAAGGTAATTTTAACAAATTATAGAAAAGTCTTTTACGAAAAACCATAAAGGGCACAAAAAATTGTATGTAAAGAATTTCTTTGATATTTAAATTTTTAAAATGGTACATATTTTACATTAAAATCCACTCGAAATCTACAGTACCAAAACATTAAGGTTTAAAAACAAAATAATAAATCTCGAATAAAAATTCGCCACATAGTTTCTAAAGTAAATTTTGCTACACAAAAAATTATCAAATGGTTAATACAGGTTTTTACAAAAATAGTAGCACCACCAAATTTACGTATTAAAAACTCATTGGAATAAAAATCTTATACCCTAATATTCCAATTAAAGTAGTATTTAACGTAAATAATAAGTTTAACTACAATAGTGATATTAGTGACAAAAAAGCCATTAAATGCTACAAAATTGTGTATGAAATTCATGAACCACTGAGTTTCATGAATTTCATACACAAAAATATGAAAAGAACATGATAAACCCTTTTCATGCTATCGCTGAAAATTTCCAAGAATCTGGTACTGATACATAAATGACATATTTGCCATAACAGATAAGAAGAAGGAAAACTATATTTTAAATATGTATAATAAATAATCAAAATCTTATAACTAATTTAACAATAGAAACGCAGAACAGAAATAAAACGGATCAAAAGAATATCACTTCTTTCTTACTAGATGAAAAAATCTCGAAAGACGAAGAAAGACGGCGCTACCTGCCTCTTTCCTCCGTGACTCCTACCCAAAAAAAAATCACCTTAGCTCTGAACAGATAGAACTGGTCGTACAAATCAACTGGTCCTACCTCTGCGCTAACTTGGTTTTTTGAATCGATTTTTTTTTCTGTAAAAAGAGATTTTGGTTTGCATTTGCATTTTTTGTATTCCGTAAAATCAAAATTCCGTATAAAGAGCTTCCGTTAAGCGAGGGATTAGTGTATAGGAATGTAATATTATGTTTATATTGTATTAATTTGCGTATATACATAGTACACATTAAATATTTCAATATTCAACATACATATATTAAAATATTTCAATATTATTTGTAAATAAGTTTTGTTTCTTACGTTTTTATGTATTTAATCAAAAGGATTTTTTATCTAATATAAAAATTTTTTTTTTTCTCTTTTTTTTTACCGAGAGGAAGGGTGAAAAATCTCGAAAGACACTGCCAGAGGAAAAGCAGTAGTGTGGAACTTTAATCCACTAAAAAACACCCTTCTCAAAATAAACTATAAAACTAGTCGAAAACGACTAACCATTAATTTTGCTCTAGCCTTTTTGATTATTTACAAGTTTTTTTATCTGGCACAATAGCGTACTAAGTACTCATTGTTCCAGATAAAAATAATATAAAAATGACATAATTAAATTTGCAATTTTTTCGCTATATGTTTCACGCGGTTTCTCTCTTTTATAATAAATATCTCAGCAAAAGTAAAAGATATTTTTAATTTAATTTATATTAATGTGATTGCCGTTTACTTCACATTATGGGGAATGAAAAAGTATGTACATATCTAAAATATTATTAATATCATAAAATATAATTTCGAAATAACATTGCGAAGAATCACTTTAATATTTTATGGACTTGATATAAGAATAAGTATTATTGTTTTTTTAAATGTAAGTATGTAAATATGTTTATACATACATTACAAAAAGCCAAATTTATGAAAGTATTGGGATTAGAATATTGAACGTCAAAACGAATAAAAATATATCTAAACAGGCACATTTAATTATATTTCTCGTGATTTTTGTAAGCGTTGATTCATTTTTATTCTGATCTATGTACATACATATATATAATAAACTTATGTAATCAGGCACGGTCCTAAGCGATTGCCCCCCCCCCCCACCCCCTTATATTGTGAATAAAATATTATATATATTTTATATAATAATTCTTCTTTTTATTGTGAACAAAATGTAATTAGCATTGCACATTGTGCATCATAAATTATTCTCTTGTAATCTTATCATGCTGAATGCAGGATCAATTATAGAATTAAAGCTTGGAACTAAACTTTTCGCTTTTTGTTTTATAAATTCAACAACAAGGTAATTTAATTAACTATGTTTTAAGTAGGTATGATCAGATTTATTTCAATCATTTAAACTTGATTTTTTGATTTTAATAACCAAAAATTCACTTTTTGGCGTAAGTGAAATTAAATTATAAACGGTTCTAAAAAAATAATATCAATAAATGATTCTTTTTCAAAGCTTATTTGAATAAAAAATAAAGTTGGGTCAAACCAATGGTTTGTGTTGCAGCACTTTTCCCTTCAACAAGTGAAAATACTGTTTTGAAAAACAATCTACGTATACCTACCACACTATTAAAATTATTTTCATTTATATATGAAACTATTTCTAAGATTGCATATATTTAGGATGAACGATTTATAAAGCCTTTGAAATAAAGCAAAAATTTATTTAAAGAGGGGTTAACATAATGCTCGATTTTAAGAGTTAGTTGCGTGAGTTAAAAAAAATAATTAAATTTTTTAATGTTATGAAATTTATTTGGAAATATTATTTGAAAATTCACAAAGCTTTTTGCGTTTATAGAAATTTGAAAAACCTTACGGGTTCGGAAATATAAGGCGCCCAAAATTAAAATTTTACAAATTTCAAGAGGCGATAACTTGAGAGGGGGTGGAAATGGGAAACAAATTGTCTTCCAACGAAATAAACTGTTTATTAGTGCCTAAAAGCTACTAAAATTTCAAGCTCCCACAACCTGAGGTTTAGAAGAAAAACAACATAAAAAATTTGCAAAAAAAGCGGATTTTAAATAACGGTGAATTTGAACGGCCATTTTGTTTTTTCTATAGTATACCCTTCTAGTAATATACTTTATATTACTAGAAGTTTAACTATAGTATACCGCGATAGAAGAAGCAACCCATTGTGTTTCTGAGTTTGTAAAATTTGAAAAATGCATATGGTTTACTACAGTAAATAGTTGAAACATTTTTAAATTTTTGGGGGGTATAACTTTTAAAAGGGGGGAGATATCTAAAAATTATGTTCTACGGAAATCAGTTTCTGGTAAAGATCTATGTACATATAAAATTTCAGGTTTCTATCTTCAAGGATCTAGAAGTTTTGTAAACAGGCACACGGCCGGACGGACGGACGGACCGAGTGAAACTAATAAGCACTTTTTTTCAAAATTTTTTTGGAAAAGTGCAAAAAGTAAAAATTTATTTATTTATGTACTTAAATGATTGTACATAGCGAAATTTTATTCGTAATTTTAAATTAACGAATAAAGTTTGGCTTTTTATTTCAAAAATTGTCTGAGAAATGAAACAGTGTATAAAAGAAGTTGCGACTTGTATTTTAAAGTTAGGAAAAATTAAAGTTTTCGTCTAAAATTTGTGGCTTATAAACTAAGCTTTATATGTACAGAGACTCTCATTCGTATTCGTACAGCAATCGTATTTTAATTCTATTTAGTAAAACAGAAAATGTGAAATTTATTTTGTAAATATTTTAATCAAGTTTTATTATTTAATAATAGTGGTAAACAAAAATAAAAATTAAATCACATTTAACAAACAAAATTGTGAATGAAAAATATTTTTCAATGAATGATTTTATTTCAATGAATGAAAAATTTTTTTCAATTCATTGAACAAATTCTTTTGAACATACCACAATGGGGAGTACATTAGAAAGACGTTGCTCACAGGATTCATAGCCCCTGAGCATTTTGTCTTTTTAGATCAACATGGCTATATTCAGGGCCAAGGGCACGTCCCCCTGTTATATCACTATAATAGACGGGCTACGTGCAAGGCCATTGAATATAACCCAGATGACATAAACAGGGAAAATTTAAAATATGAAATGTCAACTTCAGATAGGGACAAATGTATACATAAAAAATATTGGTGGTTGGACAATAGTTAGTGATAAGCAAGTACTGTGTAGTAGTACAAATAGTTTTAATTAGGATGTAAGTTAGGTTAGGGTAGGTTAAGTTTTATTTTTCTTTACAAAATAATTA